ACAAACAAAAAAATCATCATAATAAGGAATTTCACCGAAGTCGACATAGAAACCACAAGAGAAACATACATTCAGAAGTGCCACAGAATAAAAATATACCTCGGACAATGCAAACGATAAGCGTATAGATTAACACTGTAGTTTAGTGCTAAGTTTCAGACATCGGGGTGTAGTATATGAAGAAAATGCATCCAATCAAAGCAATCAACAAGAAGCTAAAACTTATCTCTAGGAAATCCATGATTTTCCCAAGATATCTAAAAACAATATAGCATGAGAATCACAAAGACTATTAAATCATACAGGAGAGGGGTTTCAATTCGACATTAAACTTGGTCATTTATTTAAAAAAGCAACGTTTCAAACCAAAGCAACATTATAAACAAACATACATATACACTTAATATATACACGTATACGGATGCATATTCATATTAACAAATGTAAATGTGGAGCTGTGCGTAGAAACTCGTTTTGATAGACGCCTTCAATTACTTATACTCAATAACTTAATTTTAGCACAATATAACAAAAAAAGAAGGTATATATATATATATATATATTTGTATTTACTTAATAATATTATTACCATTATTGGGAAACACTGCTTGAATGAGAAAATAAGAAAGAACACAAAGATTATGATAAACATACATCTCAAAACCAACAACATAATAGTGGTGTCATTATAATTAATCAGCAAAACGATTTTTCTTTTTCTCACCAGTGGTGTTATGACATGTTGACTTGTTCATTCCATTTATTTAGTTTGTACTTATATAATATTTAGATGAATAAAAGAAAAAGGTACAAAAATAGATTCATGCGAAATGCTACAACGTTCAAAGATTACAACTATTCGCTGCCTGTATTAGGAAGCATAAAGAAGAAGAATAAATATTTCAAGATAAGATCAGAAACATGCAACGACACATTATACTCATACGTCTAAACATATGCATGTTTCTCTGTATATAATTCACCACAATAATGCTGCACGTAATTAAATATTAAATAGGATTGTTTTTCCATTTAAGACGTTTCATATACAAATATATAAATATATGCTTAGTACTTTCCTGTGGCATCTTTTTTTAGTGGATATGTAGGATGGTTGGTAAGTGAAGACACAGATTTGACTCTTTCCGAAGAAGCTTTCGCCGAGGACGTAGAAAGCAAATTGGCTAAAGGGGGCAGTTGAGGTGTGCGGGAATTCTGAGAGGCCAAAGTGCTCGGTTGTTTCTGAGACTCATTTAACGCAGCAATTTTAGCTAGAGAACTCGATAAATGGCCTATGAATCGAGTGGTGTGTCTTCGGACTTTGAAAGATTTTCCCTGCATCTCGGGAAGGTGCATCGAGCCGCCCGCTCGAGGGAACGTGTAGATCTGTTTGAGCGAGTTCGCGGACGTCTCGGTGGCTTTAGACTCGGCGCCTCCATCGTTTGCGTTCTTTGGGACCTCGTTGGTTTCGTCCACCACGCTTAAATGAACAATTTGTTTCCCTGAAGCCTCAATACCTTCCACCAAAGCTGTGGAGGATTTCGTGGAACTCCCGTATGTCAATCGTGGAGAGCTGGAGCGGATATTGCAGAAGGACATCCACTGGCATCGTTGGCAGCCGCGCCGGAGGGCCGCACTTCGGTCGGTCGGGGGCATCAATTTAACCGGGGGCGTCCCCAAAGACAGTTTAATGGGCAATAAATCCTCAAGCGGTGGCTTCTGCGGCGCTAACGGGGCCGATTTTACCGCTTCCAATACGGGAGATGGGGTGAGGGCAAATTTCTTTGGCGAATCAAGATCGTTTATTGGGTTATCGTCCTCAGCCGTTTTCGCAGGGTTGCTCGGATGTGGCGGTTTGAGAGTATGGTCGGTGATCACGATGGATTTGATTGAATCCTGCTCGGTTTGTATTCGGATAATTTTCTTGAGTTGAAAACGGGCCTGTGAGACCGTCAGACGTTTTATGGGATCGTGCTCTAGCATCCCCTTCAACAACTTCGTCCAGCCCGCCCCGTACTCGGTCGGGATCGCGAGTCTAGTGGGGTCCTTGACGGCCTCGATCGTTGTGAACGGAAGCCGCCCTGTGAGCAGGCTAAACAATGTCACCCCCATCGCCCATATATCCATTGGCTTCCCGTTTGTACTACTCCCTTTCCAGACCTCCGGCGCAATAAACAAGACGGTCCCCTTCACGCCCCAAATTTTCTGCACCCGGTCGGACGCTTCGGTGATAATTTGATCTCTGTTCTGGCTCATACTTTGCTCCATCATTTGGTGCATTCGCTGAATGTATTGCCTATCGAAAACCTCGGCGAGACCAAAGTCGGAAAGGTAAGACACACTATTACTATCAATAAGGATGTTTTGCGGCTTAATATCGCGGTGAACGACGTTACGGTGGTGCAAATACTCCAACCCCGCCAGGACCTGGCGCCCTATCTGCCCCACCCGTGAAGGGGCCATCGGCTCGCAGACTTTATCGGAGTCATCGTTGAGCTGGATGTCCGCCACCACACCTTTATCGACGTATTGCATTACCAAATAAAGCTCATCCGCGTTCGGGTCCTCGATCACCTCGTAAAGGCGGACGATGTTTTTATGCCGTAGACGCCGCATCACGGCGACTTCGCGGACAAAAGACTCGTGATGGAGCTGCGCCTGCGTTGGGCCGCCGAGCCGGCGTTTCGGATCCGCGCGGAGGACCTCCTTTAGCGCGACCAGGCGCGAATGGACGGTGTCGTACGCGAGCTTCACCCGCGCACAGGTCCCATGCCCGAGATCCTCCAGGACCTGGTATTGATTCACGAAGCGGAGGCCCGACTTGGTTTTCCACTTCTGCAGGCGATCTGTCATGCAGGTGGACGAGACCCCCGCCGCGCTGCCGACGCTCGCATCCTCCCCTTCCCCTTCCTCCTCCTCCCCCTCGTCGTCGTCGGGGATGGCGAAGTCGGAGAGCGTCGTACTCGCGCTCGCCACTTTGCTGATGTCGACATAACTCAGGCTGTTCGGGAGGGCCGGGCGGGTGCTGAAGGACTGCATGTCGTCATTACTTAAGGTGGTGTAGCCGTAGCTGTAGGAGTCGTTCTCCACACTTTTTTCGGGATTCCGCCAGCTGTAAAGCGAGCCCTGATGGCGAAAGCTAATCATGCCTTTTACCGGGCCAGAATCCCCCCCAGCTCCGGGCCCCCCGGCGCCCTCAATCGTGCCGTCCGAATTTAGGCTGTACCGCCGTCGGTACTGGTGCGGCTTCACGAAGGATTTAAACGAGGAGGAAAAGGCGCTCGGGGAGCTTTTTAACCCCACCGTATCCTCCAACTCCCGCTCGGCAAAGCTCACCGTGGTGGGTTTTGTCCGCTGCTGGCTGGGAACCGCAAAGGACTTCCGATTGCCATAGCTGACGGATCCATCCTTCTCGGCGGGGCTGCCTTGCAAGGCATTCTCACGCGCCGTCGCTTCGGAGATGCTGAGTAATATCGTTTTTACAGATCCCGTCTGGGGCGGGTGTTTGTTCTTGTCGGAAAAATAGTCCAAATCGGCCAAATCAGGCACACTGCTTTCGGCGTCCCCAACTGGTTCGATTCCGCTAAACGTGCGCTGCTCCATGAACTTTTTGCTCCTAAACGAGACTGGAAATGGACAGTCGGAGGGAGATTGGATTAGAAGATCGGGTACATCGATCGGCGTATTCGTCGAAATTGGATTCCGCGAATCAGGAAACTTGACCTGAGACGTGTGGATGACTTTTTCGCCATCAAAATTTCGGTCTTTGGACTCCATTTTTTTGACGACATTCAACACATACGGCGATCTCATGTAGTTTCCTGCAGTATCAGAGGACACGGTTTGATAAGAATTGCTGTTGATGCTCTGTGAGAGCATCGATGTACTGAAATTAAACGATCCGAAGGTCATGTTGTATGGCAGCGCATTTCTAGTTGTCGAAGAATGAGCATTGTAGTAATTGCCACCACCACTAGTGTTAAGAAGAGAGCTTAGTCCGTAGTTTGCTTTACAGCTGGCATTACCAAGCCCTATTTTTTCAATCTTGTCAGTTGGCGATGATGCCCACAAAGACCCGAAGCTGCCCATGTCATCATGTTCGACATGGGGTATGCCAGGTGAAAATGTGTATTCATGCTTAATAGGATTTGAAGGGATAGAAATGTTATTAGTAGTTTCGGAAATCATATCTTTATTGGAGACTTCTAAATTTCGATCTTTTTCCTCTGACACGACACCATCGAGGGTTTCAGAAGGGGTTCTTGAGTAAGGTTGAGCGTACGCCTGGAATTTGCTTTTCATGATACGTGAACAGAGGAAATTTACTCAGATTGTAAACTCTGATACAACAAAAATAAAAGAAACAAATCCAATGAAAACAGAAATGTTTCGTGTGTAAAGAAAAAACTGAAGCGTTTTTATATTGCTCCGAAATAGGTGTAGGGGCCTATTCACCTATCTATTCTTAATGCTTGGATGTTAAAAATTCGATACTTGCTAGCATGCGCCGGCATAATCACCCAATAAGACGTGCGAAAAAATGTATATTATGAATACGTAGAAGCGTGTCGGTATTAAGAACTCTCCCTCAACAAAGGTGCTATGGAAGTGTTGCACCAGAAGCAATAAAAAACACTGATAGCGGAAGTCAGAATTTACCCAAGATTTCAATAAGAGTTAAACAAAGATTCGTAGGACTAATGGAAAGAAGAAGCTTTGTAAGAAAAAGTCACCAAAAGAAGGCTTCCAATGGAAAGAATGGAGTATATTAGATATGATAAAATTATAACAAAACCTGTTAAACAAGAGAAGCAGGTTTACTAAAAAAAAAAAAAAAATGAAAATATAATGTTCAATAAAACTGTTACTTAGTCAAAGGATATATAAAACTTTTCGATGAATAAGAGCTAAAACTTGTTTATTCGTCTTTGAAAAATTGATCCCTTTGACTCTTCAAGTTCAAAAGAAAGGAGAAATTTGGGTTGAAAAAGAGCATAAAATCAAAGCAATAAGTTCGTAAAAGTATAGACATACATTTTTCGTCCCTAATCAGATGCGTTTCTTACCATTCATCCTCTTTTTTTTTAAGATTCAATTCTTCTTCTTTAAAGATAATAATATGGCATCGGCGATAGAAGGACAAGCTGTTAAAACATAATGGGATATCACTACCAGGTTCAACAAACAGCAATGTTAGGTGTAACTCATGCCAAGTGTTTTTAATCTTATATTCTTTGCTAGTTTGTTTCCCGTATACTTGTCGTTCATTCAAAATGATTCCTTTTGGGCAAAGAAAACATGCTTTCTTTATTTGTCTACGGTAAGCCTTTTAAAATTCAAATGATATCATCTATACCCTTTGTGTATAGTTATTATCGTTATATATGTAATACAAAAGTTAGTCACCACATGTTTTTTCAGAAGCCTACACAAAAGGATACAAATAGCTGGTGAAATATCATCGAAAAAAAAAGGATAATCATTTGCCTAGTTTCCTAGCGCAGATTCGATATGTGCTAATGGATCAAATAACCACTATCAACAAATAAAATACTGAAATAATGAACAATCGCACAGCTCAAATCCAAGTTCTTCTTTCTCCTGAAGCCCTAGAAAGTATTTAAAAAAGCAAGACGGTAGAGTGCATAATAATATAAATCATAAACATAAACCACACCTTTCTCTATATGTTCTGCATCCTCCTCAAGGTGCAGTGTGGCATTGTATGGTTCGCTTCCCTTTCCGCCTGTTTGCTTTCCATTTCAAAGATCGTGTGCACTGCAGTAGTACTAATGTTAGTCTTGTTCTGCCTGGCGCTCCTTTCTAGCAGCCTCTTCTTCCCTTTCCTTTTCAACTTCCTCGACAAACATGCTCAGCTCCTCATCACTGAGGTAGTTCGCCTTTTTGTACTCCAATACCAGAAGTTCCACATTCTTGGATCCACTCTCTACCACTTCCAGCAGCGACTTAATTGCGAAATGCACACACTCGTCGCGCGTCATATTATCTTTATACAGTTTCTCCATGTATTCGACAACCGTTTGGTCATGCCTGCCAATCGCCGTCGCTTTCCAGGCCGAGGTCATCCCGGAGGGGTCGGTTTTCCATAGGTGCGGCTGACCATTTTCGTTAAAACCGCCAATGATAGTGGAGACGCCAAACGGCCGACTGCCCCCACTCTGCGTGGACTTTTGCTGAACGCGAGCGACATAGCGAACCAATAGATCGACGTCCATGGCGTCTTCATAGTTCAGCCGAAACCGCTGGCACTCTAATTGGGCCTTGTTAACGAGCACACGTGCATCCGCAGAGAGCCCCGCAAAGGCAAGATAGATGTGGTCGTCGACTTTACAAATCTTTCGAATTGTACGGCTATCTTGCAGCTTCTGAACCGAACGCTTCTCGATAGCGATAACAATGCTGTCTTTCCCCAATACACCAACCGTCGCTAGGCCCTTTTTGACGGCCTCTTGAGCATACTCCACCTGGAACAGGTGGCCGTCAGGAGAGAAGACTGTTATAGCACGGTCGTAGCTCATGATAATATGTTTGTTGTGTGTGTGTGTCGCTTTACCTCACTTTAACTTTACTAAAGATGATTTCTAAATGAAATAGGATTTAAAAATAAAGAATCGAGTCGCACAGGTTCATACTATAAAAATACAATGAGCATCTTCCGTTTCTCACGACGAGCCTAAACACCATAATAGATACTCGCATCATTTTTGTTTAGTATTAAATAGCAACACTAATGAGGATGAAACAATCCCTAGTTCTAGAGTGGCAAAACAGAAAAAACTTGCACAATCTAGGATATGACCAAAAAAAAATCGTCACTTTTTTTTGAAGGAAATGCTCCTTTGTGAGTATAAATGTATAGCAGAACAATTCTTCAGCCTACTCAGAGATGTGATGCTTCATTGTACCAACATAGCTTAAAGGGCAGGATAGCAACAGTACATAGACTCGTCCTACGTGTAAGTGGGTTCTAAGTATGCAAAGAGTTGTTTTATTTTGTGGCTCGATACACGTACTACAGTTGCTCAAGGGCGTACTTTTTCCGTTTGTACCCCCTTTCCCTCTGTAATAGTAACCAGGACCATAGCGACAGTAGGTCTGATAAAAACACAACACTCAAATGTAAAGAAATTGAGGCACTGAGGAGTAGTCCCATATATCTATACTGTCCAACACTTCCTCAGCACAGGTTTCACCTATTACTTCTAAATGTGACGCTCCCTCCTCTTTGGGTGTTATCCCCTCCACACCACTGGCCGACAACTTTAGGATTAGTTGCTCCGTAGCGCAGAAAGAACTCTTAGTGATAGTGAGGATGTGAGTGTAGGCACGCATATCTCCAACAATTCGGCGAAGGTGCATTCGGACGTTCACGGCGTGGTATAGGATCGGCCCGAAGCTCCCACTGCTGCTGTTCATAGACATTTCAAGGGGTGCCACAGTCAACGACCTGCTGGCTAGATTTGGTGTGCATTGTGTGAGCAGCAGAATACACACATTCCCCTCAGTTGCAAGATGCTTGATGACCTGAAGTGCGGCGTGCACGGTCGCTTGACGTTGTATGAGGTCACCAAGGTGGTTAAACCCTGAAAAGCTTCGCTGCACAAGCTGTGTGAAGTGGTCGACAACAACAAGCTGAGTGCGCGGGTGTAGCCGCAGGTGCTGGCGGATAGCGCTATAAATACCTTCACCATGTTGAGTTTTCGGCAAAAAGTTCTCGACGCTTTGAAGTGGCATCAAGAAGAAGGAAGATGGAATTCTAGTAGGGGTTTCTTCGATGTGCGACACAAAAACCGACAGGATCTGAGCCTCCACCGCTGGGTCTTGGCCGCTGTACAGCCACAAAACTTCACCACCGGCGCGCGTGATGTGGATTGCCCACTGGAGGGCGAGCAGCGTCTTGCCCGTCCCGATCGATCCCGTTAGTTCCGCCACGAGAGCGGGTCTCAGCCCACCGCGGAGGGCCTTGTCCAGCATGGACAGCCCTGTCGCGACGGCGCCAGTGCCTATCACAGTGCTGTTGCTGAGGCTGAGGCGGGTCGGCCGCGAAGGGACGTGACACGCCGCGATAACCGTCAGTGCGCGCTGCACCTCGCCGTGGGAAAGGTCCAGGGCCTGCCCCAGAACCCCCTCAGGCTGTAACAGGAGACGCCGTGCCGCGGGGCTTGAAGACGGGGGCAGGGCTGTGCCAGGGCCTGAGAGAGGGGGGGGGGGGAGGGAGAGGGGGGCCGCGTGTTACATTTTCCACACCGGACATGACACCAGCATGGATGGCGGTCTTTTAATGGTGAGTGAACGTGTATGTATGTGTGTGTGTGTGTGTGTGTGTGTGTGATGTGTCACAGCCCCAAACCAGGGGTGCTGAGGCCTTTTGGAGTTTTTCATAAGGGAACAGGAGGGGAAATGGGAGAG